CGCCGAAGACGACTAAGTAATAAAATATGGGGGGTGCCATTTAAAAAAATGAAGTTATGGTGCTTCCAAATTTCGAAAAGTTAACGTGTCATAGTAAAGTGACCAAACGATCTAGACAGCCGTTCTCGGCACCAAAACATACTCCATCATGTTGTTTAAGCATGTTCTGAATCCTAAATTGATATCTCAAAAATCGAGTGTTCTATGATTTTTTGAACAAATGTCCACTGGAGCAGATTTTCTAGAAAAATTCGAATAACTCGAGAACGGCCGAATCAAATTGCAAAAAGTAAACTTATTTATCAACCTTCAAAACAGAAAAATCCAAATATGTAAAAATATACAGGGTGTTCCATTTAAAAAAATAAACTAGGTGGCGACTTCTGGTATAACCGGAAGTGCTAGAAGTCTGAAAATATTTTAGACGAAGAGAACGTCTAAATTCTCAAATTTTTATTTTGGCCAGAACCCCAGAAACGTCTAATGACCGGTCTCGCTGAGACACCCTGTATAGTTGTTAGGGCTCGTAGTCTGTAAATGTTGTTAGATTTCAAAAATTAATCGATTTAGTTTCATGTTTTTAACAATTGTCTAATATAAATTAAATATTTTTACTCTAGCAAAATGTGTTTTTAACTGTTCTATTAAAAAATAACTTAATACTTATTAACTCATGTCATAAAATTTATGACACGCGTCCGCTCGAAGGTTAAATATTTTTTTTACCTTCCTAAAGGTGAATCTGGAAAATCATCTAACCCTTCGTGGACTGATGAACTAGGACTAGAAGTGGGGTCCAAAGGTAAACCATTTCTCATCGCATCAACCTTCTTCTTAACTCGCCCCCTTCGTTTTTCAAATTTACTCGTTTCCATCGACGCCGCTCTTCTCCTCACCGATTTGCCGGGTTTTGCATCTGGGTTGATCATCCACCAAGATGATTTCCCGGTACCTTCGTTTTGAACCCTCATGAATCTATTGTGAAGCGATAAATTGTGTCGGATGGAATTCTAAAATAAAATGTAAACTTAATTAATTCATGAACCTTATCAAAAAGGTTAAATCTAATTGTTTAAATAATTAATACGGATCGATAGAAAGAAAAATTCCGCGTTTAAAGTTTTTTTTGATATTGATAACGTTTTTAAAACGCAAAAAAAGAAGGGCGTTGGGGTCAATTGGGATCAATTAGAAGAGGTTAAGTGGGTGTGGGCTTAGGATGGGTGCGAATCAACATGCAATCGGGAGTACGTTGCACCTTCTTTCTCCCCTTTTTTTCCATATACACCCTTGTTATTAGAAAAGTCGGATTCAATTAAAAGTTTGTTGGCCTTATTTTAAATTATCCTAATTTTTATTGTGATTATAATTTTTTTTTATTAATGAGAGACAAGTCGGGACGGAAGGATGTGGTTTTATATTGTTTATTATTGGTAAAGTCTGCGATTCAAAGTCGAACAGGAGTCTTTTGCGGTTTTTCGGTAGATAAGTTAAAAATTATAAAAGGAAGGAAGAGGTTAGATCTAATTTCGAGGCTATAAACATAGATAATGCAAATTTTATCAACTAATTTTGATTTATTTTAATAAAAAAAATAAGTTTAATCTTTAAAAAATGACTTATCATTTTTATTAAATATATATTATAATAAAATGGGGGTTTGATTTAAATGCGATTAAGGCTTGCAATCAATGAATATTTTATTTTATAAAGTTCCATTACTTTTAGATTCATCTATAATTTTAATCCCATTTGCTTAAGGATTAATTTTTAATACAAAAAATATCTCTTAGAACACGTTTTAAAATCGATTCCAAATTCCCTTTTTCTATTTTCTGTCGAGTGGCGGATAACTTTTTCGTTAGTTTCCTGGGGGCAAAGTGGCGCCGCGACGTCCGTCGTCGGCTGGGTCCAGGTACACCGTCCCAGATTTGAATCCCGTAGGAAAAACGGCGTCGCGACGCCGCCACCGTATCCTCACGTGATGTATGAAAAGCGCGCTGCATCCGAATACTACCAGGGGGGAACTACTAATGGATTAAACCTATTAGGAAGAGAACGGGGGATAACCTCCACCAAAGCACCATTTCGTTGGATTTGCTGGTGGTCGTTCGTCTTAATTGTCGAGAACGACACGTCACTAATATTTGAATAATCGAGTTGTGTCTCAGTCGACAAGCGTTTTCTTGCCACCCCCTTAATTTCGAAAAATCGAATTAGAGATGAACGATTTACGCGATGGGGACGCGTAAATTCGGATTAAAACGGCGATTTACCATTTTTTTGATTCTTTTGCGTAAATCAATCCAATGTTACTCTTTCGATTGGATCTGTTGCTCTAACTGTCGGGTGCTTTATGGTTTGTTTAGGAAAGAATGACGGATTTCCGGATTAATTTTTGACAATCAACTGAATCGCATTAATATCCGTCGACATCAATCGTGAATCATTAGATTAAAATTCCAATTTCAATCCATTTTTACGTCTATTAAATTTAAAAATTTTTCAAAAACATCGAAAATAATAAGATTTTCGTAATAATCAGAAAATTTTAACCCAATTTCATGTATTACACTCTATATCTAGCATAAAATTCACTTTTAAAAGATTAAATGTCACAATTAATTAGTGTTTTGTTTTGCGGCCATCTTGGATTTTATTAAAAATATACATGTCAAAATATTTCTGCATGAAAATCACTTTATATATAAAAAAATTAATATTTATTTGTTACAAAGTCAAATTTTCGATTATGCAATTTGAAAAATGAATCATAAATTCTTAATCCTTATTAAAAATGCTTTAAAACGAGCCCAAACACGACGAGTTTATTTTAAAAATTGAAAAAAAGATGGACGATTATTTTCAAAATGGCGTATTATAGATTTTTTTTTCTAATTAGGCTGTTTTTGAGATAAATTAGTGGTGTTTCGCCTCATTTTAATGGATTTTTCATTTTTTATAAGATGATTTTAATAAAAATAAAAAAATGTATATAAAATTTTTTTGTATAATTTCAAAATGGTTGATCATAAATTCTTAATCTCGGCCAAAACTCTTAATTAATTACTAAATTATTGTACATTGAACGATATTTTACCTAAAAAATTAAAAAAATACAAAAATTGACGATTAATTTCAATTTTAAATCCATTTTTACGTTTATTAAATTTATAAATTTTTCAAAAACATCGAAAACGATAAGATTTTCGTAATAATCAGAAAATTTTAACCCAATTTCATGTATCACACTTTATATCTAGCATCAAATTCACTTTTAAAAGATTAAATGTCACAATTAATTAGTGTTTTGTTTTGCGGCCATCTTGGATTTTATAAAAAATATAAATGTCATAATGTTTCTACGTCTTTAATGCAATTTTCTGCGTGAAAATCACTTTATATATAAAAAATTTAATGTTTATTTGTTACAAAGTCAAATTTTCGGTTATGCAATTTGAAAAATGAATCATAAATTCTTAATCCTTATTAAAAATGCTTTAAAACGAGCCCAAACACGACGGGTTTATTTTAAAAATTGAAAAAAAGATGGACGATTATTTTCAAAATGGCGTATTATTTTTTTTTTTTAAGTAGGCTGTTTTTGAGATAAATTAGTAGTGTTTAGCCTCATTTTAATGGATTTTTCATTTTTTATAAGATGATTTTAATAAAAATAAAAAAATTTATATAACATTTTTTTGTATAATTTCAAAATGGCTGATCATAAATTCTTAATCTCGGCCAAAACTCTTAATTAATTACTAAATTATTGTACTTCGAACGATATTTTACCTAAAAAATTAAAAAAATATAAAAATGGACGATTAATTTCAATTTTAAATCCATTTTTACGTTTACTAAATTTAGAAATTTTTCAAAAACATCGAATATAATAAGATTTTCGTAATAATCAGAAAATTTTAACCCAATTTCATATATCACACTTTATATCTAGCATAAAATTCACTTTTAAAAGATTAAATGTCACAATTAATTAGTGTTTTGTTTTGCGGCCATCTTGAATTTTATAAAAAATATAAATGTCAAAATGTTTCTACGTCATTAATATAATTTTCTGCGTGAAAATCACTTTATATATAAAAAATTTAATGTTTATTTGTTACAAAGTCAAATTTCCGGTTATGCAATTTGAAAAATGAATCATAAATTCTTAATCCTTATTAAAAATGCTTTAAAACGAGCCCAAACACGACGGGTTTATTTTAAAAATTGAAAAAAAGATGGACGATTATTTTCAAAATGGCGTATTATAGATTTTTTTTCTAATTAGGCTGTTTTTGAGATAAATTAGTGGTGTTTCGCCTCATTTTAATGGATTTTTCATTTTTTATAAGATGATTTTAATATTTTTATTAAAATTATAGAAAAAAAAAAAGAATTATAAAAATTTTTTTTGTATAATTTCAAAATGGCGGATTATAAACTCTTAATATCGGCCGAAACTCTAAATTAATTACTAAATTATATATAAAATAATACTATGAACGATATTTTACCTTAAAAAGTTAATAAAAGATAAAAATGGACGATTAATTTCAAAATGGCGGATTTTAGATTAATTTTTGTCTCTTATTTTGACAATTTTTATGATAAATTAGTCGTGTTTGGGTTCATTTTAAAAGACTTTTTATTTTTTTTAAGATGATATTAATAAAAATGAAAAGAAAAAAATTGTTTATAACAAGAATTTCAAAATGGCGGATCAAAAATTCTTAATCTCGGCCGAAACTCTAAATTAATTACTAAATTATATATAAAATAGTATTTTGAACGATATTTTACCTTAAAAAGTTAATAAAAGATAAAAATGGACGATTAATTTCAAAATGGCGGATTTTGGATTAATTTTTTACAATTTTTATGATATATTAGTCGTGTTTGGGCTCATTTAAATAGAATTTTTATTTTTTATAAAATGATAGTAATAAAAATGGAAAGAAGAAATTTTTTTATAACAAGAATTTCAAAATGGCGGATCATAAATTCTTAATCTCGGCCGAAACTCTAAATTAATTACTAATTTATATATAAAATAGTACTTTGAACGATATTTTACCTTAAAAAGTTAATAAAAGATAAAAATGGACGATTAATTTCAAAATGGCGGATTTTGGATTAATTTTTTTCTCTTATTTTGACAATTTTTATGATAAATTAGTCGTGTTTGGGCTCATTTAAATAGAATTTTAATTTTTTATAAAATGATATTAATAAAAATGGAAAGAAGAAAATTTTTTATAACAAGAATTTCAAAATGGCGGATCATAAATTCTTAATCTCGGCCGAAACTCTAAATTAATTACTAATTTATATATAAAATAGTATTTTGAACGATATTTTACCTTAAAAAGTTAATAAAAGATAAAAATGGACGATTAATTTCAAAATGGCGGATTTTGGATTAATTTTTTTACAATTTTTATGATAAATTAGTTGTGTTTGGGCTCGTTTTAAAAGAATTTTTATTTTTTATAAGATGATATTAATAAAAATGGAAAGAAAAAAATTGTTTATAACAAGAATTTCAAAATGGCGGATCATAAATTCTTAATCTCGGCCGAAACTCTAAATTAATTACTAAATTATATAATATAAAATAGTACTTTGAACGATATTTTACCTTAAAAAGTTAATAAAAGATAAAAATGGACGATTAATTTCAAAATGGCGGATTTTGGATTAATTTTTTTACAATTTTTATGATAAATTAGTCGTGTTTGGGTTCATTTTAAAAGAATTTTTATTGTTTATAACTTAATTTTCTTAAAAATTAAAAAAAAAAAGAAAGATGGAGATTAATTTCAAAATGGTGGATTTTCGATTATTATTTTTTTGTTACTTTTGTAATTTTTATGATAAATAATTCGTGTTTGGGCTCATTTTAAAGCATTTTTTATATTTTATAAGATGGTGTTAATAAAAATACAAAAAATTTATAATCCTTTTTAATTTTATTTATTAAAAATGTCGTGAATCTTTTCTAAAC